TAAATCATACATATCAAATTTTCAATTAATTGAATATATATTACTAGTTCATTAATTATAGCAAATTTACCATCGTTAATATATATTATAAAATACAAGTTTCTTAATTGAATGGTTATAGATATTAAATTAACTTGAAAATTGATATGCATGAATTTTAGCTATGGAACATCAAATTTAATTGTTGGTTTTGAAAATATTCATTAGAGAGTGGTGCTTTTAAAGTTGAGACTTAATTTTTCCATAAAATTTGGGACTGATAAGCACTTTTTTAATTTTATTTATTAAAATTAAAGTTAAAATAAAAATTTTAATTACATTTTTGAAAAAAATAAATAAGAAAAGTAAGAAAAATAAGTACATCTCTCTAAATTCAAACTTTTCATACATTTCTTTTTTACTTATTTCTTTTTTACTCACATCTTCTTATCTTTAAAAGCAATTTTTAAATTTTCCCTCAAATAAAAATTTAAACTTATTACTTATGAACAGTACAAAAAAAGTAAAAACTCCAACAAACTGCACCAAACATGGCTTTAGTTGGCTCCTTCCATCTACTTCCCTCTCCTTTCATCTCCTTTATTAAGTTTATCCAAACAAAGAGAATGCGAGAACCCTCTCATCAATCTCCTCTTCTTCCCCTCCTACCCCTTCAATCCAAATAAAAATTATGATTAAAAGGGACAATTTTTTTAAGAAAGACCCTTAGTTCGTGTATTTTATTATTTCACCGATTTTTATTTTTAAATTTATCGAACTTCTTTTTATGACTTTAGTTTTTTTTTTTTTCTTACTTTCGATGATTACAATAAATATCAATAAACTCTTCAAATATAAAGTTAACTTCTATTATAGTCGTAAAAATATGATTTTGTATTTTTTTTCAATGAATTAACATTTTACAAGAACATGTACATGTCGAAATTAAAAAAGGTTCACTCAATTAGCTCTCGAAAATTTAAAAGCTCCACCAAAATTTAACTTCTTTGAAGAAAGTGTTACGGCCTAACTTGTGCTTTTAAGCTAGAGAAATTCTTTCAATAAGCTAGGGCTTGGACCAAACACCCGTTTAGTGTAGTTGGAGTTTTTGATAAAAGTATTGTTGGAAAGAATTTGTTGTAGAAAGACTATTTTTGAAAAGTTGAAAGTATTTGGTAAAATTTTTTATAGAATGACTTACAGAATCAAAAGCTGTTTGGTAAAATTTTTTAGAAAAGATTTGTTAATGTAATGTAATGTTAAAATAACTGAAATAAACATTTTTATTTTAATCACCACTCCCACTCCATTTTTTTAATATTTTTATATAACTTTATTTTTATAATTAGTTTAAGGTTAATGATTAAAAATTAATTATTCATATTTTAAAATATAAATGCTAGATAAATGCTTATATTTTAATACTAAAAAATAAAATATACTACATTTAATCACCGCTTCCACTCCATTTTTTTTATATTTTTATATAACTTTATTTTTATAATTAGTTTAAAGTTAATGATTAGAAATTAATTATTCATATTTTAAAACATAAATGCTAGATAAATGCTTATATTTTAATATTAAAAAATAAAATATACTACATTTAATCACCACTCCCACTCTATTTTTTATTATTTTTATATTTTTATATAACTTTATTTTTATAATTAGTTTAAAGTTGTAATTATTCAATTTTTAAAACATAAATACTAGATAAATGCTTATATTTTAATATTAAAAAATAAGTTAAATACATTTTTTGGTCCCTCTACTATAAGAAAAAGCTCATTTTTAGTCCTTATACTGAAAATATCTCTTTTTTGATGTTAAATTTCGAAATCCGACCATTTTTAGTCCATTCATTAAATTTTGACTGATATGATAAGTTAATTATCAAAAAATTTTATTTTTTTCTTTACTTAAATTACGTACAAAATCTATCTACAAAAATTGATGACATGAGTAAATTTTTGATCTAATATAACCTTAAAAATCATTTAATTATATAATTACCATTCCAAATATTTTAAAGGGTATTTTGTGGTCAAAGGTACTTGACTTTAATTACTTACTTGCCCTTGTCTTCTTCCCATTCTGTCTTATTCTCTCCTTCCTCCAACCTTCTGTTTTTTTTTTTTTTTTTCACCTTTGCCTTATGGAAATCAGATTTGGAAAGATGAACCCATGTGCCTGGGTTCACTGGGTTCATCGCGATTCCAGGTGTGGGGTTTGTCAAGAACCCAAGCAACAAAAGATTAAGTATAGAAGGGATGGTGTTCAGATTGACAAGGTCGGGGTATAGCTCGGGGTATAGCTCAGGGGCTCCGACGAGGATCTTGAGCTTTTGGAGGTCATCGTGGAGGTCTACCTTGGAGTCCGCAAAGTGCTCCAACTAGTTTGGGTACCTGACGCGAGCCTTGATGTTCTCTTTGAATCAACGCTCAAAGGAAAGGACTAGTTTTTTTAGGGTGTGGATGTCCAGCACATCGACGATGCTTTGAGATTTGTCAATGGTTTCTAGGAGAGAAAGGTCAATGTCACCGTCAAGTGCAGTGGAGCTGTCTAGCTTGCATTTCTTATGGTTTGCGACTTCCATGGTGTTTAGAGTAGAGATTGGGCCTCCATATCCAACCTTCTGCAAGGAATTTCAGAGATCGAAGGAACACCCTACGACATTGCATTCACCCACCACTCCTTTCCTCCTCAGGCATTGCTCCAGTCGTTTCGCCACTCCATTGCCTTTCATGTCTATTTGAAAACTGGGGATAGGTTTGAAATGGTTTCAGAGCAATTTGGCCATGTTTTTATTCCACCCTACTTTCTTATTGTTATCGCTCAACACAAATCAAACTTCATTGATAGAATGGAAATGGTAACCTGATGTGGTGAATTTGTGCTACTTTGTCTATGCCTTGGCTGTGCGAAAAGGATCCAGATGTTGCCATGGCAATCAATGTGCCTTCTTCTCTTGTCAATTGGTTATCCAACTTTACCGAGTCTAATGATACCCTTCTTAATTAACAAATCTGGGTATGTATATGATTGCTGTAAACACATAGAGAAGAGAGAGAGAAATGCTGAATCAACTGAAAGTAAAGATGAGTGGTCAGAACACTACTAGAAAACGCGGCATAAGCGACAAAATTATATTCGACAGTCATATTTTTGACGAAAATGTGTACATAACCGACAGAAAGATTGACGAAGATGTAAAATTAACGATGATAATGGAAACTTTTAGTTTAATCGACAGTCTTCATATTCGGTAACTTTTTTGTCGAATATATAAACATATTCGACAGAAAATTTCTGACGAATGTGTTTATTCGTCAAAAATTTCCTGTCGAATATGTAAGGCAACATAACCGGCTCCAGTATGTTAAGCAACAACATCGTTTTCTGTATATTCGGCAGCTTTAGCTGTCGAATATACTAGTTCATATCACCCCCACCTCTTCTTTTTTCCCCATTTCTGCTTCTCCCTCTGCGGTAGTAGATTTGGTTTCTTCTCTGGCGAAGCTTGCTGTCGCTGTTCTTCCGTCACGCCCACTGGTCTCCGCTCCGCGCCGGTGCCGGTGAGTTCGCCCCTCTCTTGGTCAATTGATTGATTTATTTTTGCATTTATTTTCCTTAGATTAATTTACAGTCGGCACATTGCATTGTTCTTGATCCTTGCCTTTTGGTCCAGCCTCCAGCATCAGTGTTGTCAAAATCGCGTTTTATATCGTAAAATCTTAAGATTTTACGATGTTAGTTATGGATGCCGAGTAAAATCGACTTTAAAATCGGATTTTCATAAAATCGGATGATAAAAACGTAAAAGCGCGATTTTTTCGTAAAATCGTTTGAAATCTCGATTTCACTTTCACAAAAATTGAAGAAGAGATT